GGAGATCCCGGCCCCCCAGGGAGCCAAGCAGGGACAGGCAGCTGCCTCAGCCTCCCAGCCAGGCCCAGCTACGCAGGCAGCCACTTGGGACAGGTTTGTAAGCCACGAAAAATCCCCCGTTTTCCTTCACCTTTCCGAGGGGTTTAGTCTCTCCTAATCGATTTAGCCGCGCCTCGCCAGGTTGTAAACGGTAATGATTTGCATTTTTGAGCCTTCTCATCCCTCCTTAAGGAAAAAAAAAATGCCTCCTCTCTGCAATCTGAAAGGCTTGCACGCAGGCTGCGGCCATGAGCGCCGCCGTCCTGGTGCCCCTCCCCGGGGAACAGCCGGCGTCACCCACACGATCGAGGGCGAGAAGGTGCATGGCGTGTGGACGCCCTTGGGGACACAGGCCACGGTGCCCCCCCCCACCGCTGGCACCGTCCTCGGCCCTCCCGATGATGCCTCCTGGCCCCGGTGCTCTCTGTCTGCCGAATCCAATCTTCCTTGTTGTATTTTTCATAAGCGTGAGGCTCAGAAGCCCCGGCCTCCTCCCTGGCGCCTTCAGCAGGAAGCAGGGCTCTGAAGTGGGTGGGCTTTGGGACTCGAGCTGCCATTTCTGCGGGCGCAGGGGGTCCCCCCCGAGCGCACCTCACACTTTTGCTCCCTCCCCTTCTCACGGGTGCCTGGGTTCCACATGCAAATGGGCAGCCTCCGCTCCCGGCCTGTCCCCCAGCTCAGGCCCTGGCCAGCCTCCCGGGCCTTGCAAGGATCCCTCGCCGGCCTCCAACCAGCTCGAGCCTTCTTCCGGAGCCAGCTGAGGAGTGGGACAGCCCCCTCGGACTCGGGACCACCCAGCCTTCCGGAGTGAAACTCAACCCCGCCCTGGTGCGCCCCCACTTTACAGGAGGGGACACCGAGGCTGTGCGTGCGCCAGACACACGCTCCCTGCGGCTCTCTGGAAGCATCTCCCCGACCCCCTCCTCAGCAGCCTGGCGGGGGCCGGACTGGCAGGGAGGCCTTCCTGGATCCCCTGGGGAAGGAGGAGATGCCCGTGCCCGCCTGAGGGAGGAGGAGGAGGAGGCACGAGGAAGGCCTCTCTGGGAGAGGCAGGCTGGCTGCTCCCCGCCACCGCCGTCTTCCCAGGGGCTGTCCCCTCCCTGCCGGCGTTTTCCAGAGCGGGGGCCCGGCTCGCGCCCCCCCGCCTGGGTGTGGGAAGCCCCTGGCGGCCACGCGGCTGCCATGTTCGCACGGAGGTGGTCCAGCAGGCCCGAGCCAAGCCGGAGAAGAGGGAGGCTGCGCGGGAGGCCGCGGGAAGGAGAGGGGGACGCCAAGGAGCTTCGGATGCACATCGTGTCTGCAGAATTGAGTATGACTGATTAATAGATTTTATTCTTAGTAATCTCTTAAGCATTCCATACGTCGGGCCCCACGCCTGAGCTGAGCTTACAAGAGGCCTCATTGGCAAAATGCAAATGGCTTGCCAGCCCTGCTGCCTTCTCCCCTTCCCTGCCTTTTCTTCCTTTTTTTTTAAAAGGGGAAATTTAAAGGAAAATTGCCATGTAATAGAAAAGAGATTCCAATCACTACCTCTAATTGCCACGAAGGGTAAACCACTTAACCAAAGGAGTGTCGTGGGCTTTTTTCCCCTCCAACTTCAAGCCTGCCTTAAATGCCACGAAATACACTCATCAACGCTAAAGGCCACGGAGGTTGTGCCGGCTCGTGGGAGGCCGCGAGGATCAGCTCAGCAAGGGACTTCCCCTTGGAGGTGTCGGCAGCGCCCAGGAGGGCGATGGGAGACGGGCCCTGGGGGCGTCATCACAGAGCCTGTGTCCTGTGCCCGTCCGAGGGGCGGGGGAGGCAGGGGGCCCCGAAACATCGCCCACCTTGGGTGACAGGGCCGGGAGTTGGACCAGGATGGGGACGGTGCTTCAGAGCGGACCTGGCTTCGGGGACCCTCCTTGGTTTGGAGGCGGGGGCGTGATGCACACAGCAGACATTTGAGAGCGCTCTCTCAGAAGGGACCCTGGGGGCCCGAGCTCATGCCTGTAATCCCAGCATTTTGGGAGGCTGAGATCAGAGGATCTCTTGAGGGCAGGAGTTCGAGACCAGCCTGGGCAACACAGCGAGACCGCAGCTCTACAAAAATAAAAATGAAAAGTAAAAGGAAGGACCCTGGGAGGTGTCAGGATAGATCAGAGGCAGAGAAGACAAGGAGGTCCTGCCTGGGCTGCGTGTCTGTCTTCAAGGACACTCAGTGCTCCCTGGGGCGGGTGGTGCTCTTGCTGTGTGAGGCGGGCCTGCGCCCTCCAGGAGGGTGCACGGTAGCCCCTCAGGGGCGGCTGGCAGGGCTGCCGTGGGGGGCAGAGGAGGGCATCACCCAGGCCTGTCTTGGAGGGTATAGGGATGCGGGATGGCCCTCGGCCCTGCTGCACTCTTCAGCGCTAGGTCTCCTGCACTCTTGCTGTCCCCAGATGGGTTGGGAAAGGGACAAAGGGGGACGGAGGTGGGGTGGGGGTGGAGCATGCGGGCACCACCGTGTCGCAGACTTGGGGGGCCTCGGGGGGGCGACCTTCCTGGGATCCTGGCAGAAGGCCGGAGCGGTGCCCTCAAGGCACTCAGAAACAGCAGAGACCCGGCACTCCTGTCCCCACCACCCTGACACCACCCTCCAGCTCCCTCTCCTCCCAGACATCCCCCGGGGGAGGGGGCTTCTGACCACAGGAAGGACCGCCTTTTACGCAGACCTGAAATTAAGGCTTGGGAGCCATTCTCGCTGGACCTCCATGCACGAGAAAATGATTGAGGCTGGGACGGGAAACGTAAGTCTCGTTTGGAATGAAAGGTGTCCATGCCTCTCGGCGGGTTCCTGGGGTGGGAGAGCCCCTCCGCCCAACGCACACGCCTTCCCGCCACCCCCGGCGGGCAGGCCGCGCTGGGACCCTGTGCGGTGCCCACCCCCCTCCCCTCGCGCCCTGTCGTGGCCTCCTCCAGCCCTGCCTCCTCACCCCCGACCCGGCTTTTCTCGGGCCTTTGCTCTCTGTCGGACCCCGAGGGCTTGGGAAACCGCCACCGCCAGGAGCCAGGGCCGCTCATGCTCCGGCCTCCACGCCAGCGTCCCCTCTTTGATGTCGCCTCTCCCTGGCGCAGAACAAGCGGCACGTTGACAGATGGTGACCTGGGCTCCCCAGGCATGGGGACGCGGGCGCCGTCAGCACCCCAGGCCCCACTCCCCTCCCCAACCCCAGATCTGCCGCCGTTATTCCCTCATCGCTTTCATCTCATGCCTCACCACCCTGCACTGTCAGTTGACAAATGATAGCGACGTGGACTCCAGAGGGAGGAAAGAAAACCTTAACTCTTTGGAGTCCCCCCACCCCCATCAGGACCCTTTCAGAGGCCAGGGTGTTTAGACGGAGCTCCGGTCTCTCCCTCTCGGGAACAGAGTCCTGGGAGCGGGCATGGCTGAGTTTGCTGCATCGAGGGAGGGGTTTCCATCACCCAGGGCTCTTCTGAGAATTTTTTGTGTCTTTTTTCTGGGCTTTGTTTGAGCAGCCATGGAAACCAATAGGTCTAACAGGCTGATATGTATTAAAAAAGAGCCCATCCCTGCACTGATTACCTATCCCACGAGGAAGCACGTAGCACACAGTAAAATGCTCAGAAAGTAGCTGGCAAGGTGACTGCATCTGGGGGTGGACGTGAGGAGAGGGAGACAGGACACCAGCGGTCAAAAAAAGCTTCTCTTTACATCAGAGAGGAGAGCAGGCCAGCTGTGGCCGAGTTCGATGGGACAGAACTGAAGACCCAGCCCCTCCTCCCCACACCAAGCCACCTGGCTAGAACGCACATGCCTCAGCCTCAAGGAACAGCAATGGCCCCTCCCTCCCGAGCGAGTCTCCTCCCTCCACCTCTCTCCCATCCCCAACACAGGGTCTACTTACTCAATGATTTCTAGGAGAAAGCAACATTTTTGCAATTCTTTTGTCTCAAGAAACGGTAAAAACTGACCCAAGAAGCTAAGAACTGTGCACGTAGCTCCGTCGACCCATCTGTACTTAGAAACGCTGCCCCGAGACAGACAGGCGGACAGATGCATCTCCAGGTAGCAGGGGAAAGCAACCGCTTCCATCAGGGCATCTACGCAGTGGGGTACCTGGGACCGGAGAGGGTTTCAGCAGAGGAATGGGAAGTTGATTTGCTTTTGTTTTTAATCGACTACATCATGGTTCAAAGGATCAGTGAAAGAGGCCATGTGTCTGCGAATCTGTAAGGGAAACGGCATGGAACGGACCAGAAAAGAGACTTCAGGACAGTATCTCCATAGCAAACGCTCTCTGCTCGCCCCTCTCCTCTGTGAGGAGCCTGAAAGCCTTCCGTCCCGTCGCCAGCGAGTGCCAGCTGCGGGGGGGGGACGGGG